TTTTTTCCCCTGTCGCTCTGCTCCCATGTCCCGCCTCTCGGTGTTACATCATCAGTTTTTTCGCTTTGAGACATCTGATTTGCAGTTGCATTTCACTGACGTACAAAGTAGCTACTGTACATGGTTGGAGGAGAGACACACAGCAGCATTAAACGGGAGCTAGATGTTTACATAAAAGTTAGGAGACGAGTTAGTTAAAAAAATTAGAGATGCCACCGAAAAATTTGTTCATTAGAAATCCGGAGCTTTTTCAGTTAAAAATTGCAACAGATTGTAAGTTTATACAAGTTAGTATTATAATGCATGAACCTTGAGAAAACATAGTTTGAATGTTCTTCTTTACTTGTTAAAAAAAGCTTGGCTTCTCAGAGGACCATGACTCTCAGCTACAGCTTAAAATGAACACGTTTTCTTATTGTACAGATAGAATCAGACTGCAGAGCTTCTACATACATTATATATCGTTATATCAGTGAAAGGTTCATAAATCTTTTTAACAGAGCACAGAGAGAAACAGGGAGAGCTGCAGATTTAAAGGTGAAACAGATTTACTGGGATATGCAACATGCAATAAAATATATCGGCAAGTTTACCAGAAAGTTTACAAGGAAAAGAATATACTATGCTATATTTAAAATGCAGCATATGCATATTTTTCTGGATGGATGGAATTGAAATTGTCCTTCTAGGGATGCATGATATATCGATTTTTGATATTGGAATCAGCTGTTATTCGTTATTTTTTAATACCTTAATGTTTTTGGGCCCTATATATATGTATATCTTGCACTAAAATGCATCTGTCTAACTATGTATATAAATATCAGTGTATTGTGGTACTCATGTGTTGTCAACAATAGGAAAGCATTCAATAGATATATGTTTGAGCTAATTTTTGGAAAATACAAAAATCTAATGAAAGCGTTTGGGTCGATTAACTGTAGGTCTATCAGCCCCACTCTTAAAGTGTCCCCACCAATGTTCATTTCAAAGTTACACCCTTGAACCTGGCTATAAGATAGCATCATGTCTCCATATGACACAGGCCCTAGTGTGAGTTATGTACAATGCCAGAACATCTTCTTCTATCTTCCCTAGAATGCAAAACATTTTTTAGAGATATTTTTTTCTTTTTATATGAAACCCAAATGCCAGTGACTTTCTCCTTGCTGAACCAACAGCTTTTCTTAATTTGAATTCTGTGGTTGGAGGAAAACTATTTCCATTCCTCAAAAAACTTTCAGCTAGTGGCTTCACCGCCCATATTTAGCGAGAACACATGCATACACATCTAAAAAGATGTACCATACCCATGTGCACAGCTGTGTTACACATGGGCAACAGCTTTCTCATGAATTCAACAAATACATTTGAAAGTTGCACAAAGACAGGAGCTGCTCCAACACATGGCTTTATTGGGTGAGTATTCATGCAGTAGATAAAAGTTACTTTTAATAACTTTAATCTCCATAATTTAACCATTCTCACTGATTATCAAATTTACTTCAGTTTTAAAGATTATTCAGTAAATAAAGCCTTTCAAATAATAAAGCTTTTCCAATGAGTCTCAAACTCCACTTAAAATGAATAAGATTCTAATGTTAATATTTATTCAAAGTACAAAATGTAAAATCTAATCTAATCTATATATCTATAAGGAGGTATTATGTAATAATATGTTATTCACCATTTCATTTATAAATACCATTCTTAATTTGGCCATATGTAATTAATTCATTAGTACATTTGGTTGATCAAAGTCTTTTTTCTTAATAGGAAAAAGCAACAAAGCAAACACTGGATGTTTCTCCACCTCGCTAAGAGTGGAAGACCCCGAAGATGTATTACTTTAGTCTATTAGAGTCAAAAGCAGCAATATTGATTATGATGTATTTTAATTATTTCTGAAAAGCTGTTCAGAAGTCACACAAATATTTGTATTCCATCCCATTTGTTAAAACCTGGTAGATGTACAGCTATACATATTTATTCAGGACTACAATTAAGTATTTCAATCACATTTTCATTACCTAGGGGGAAAAAGGGGAAAATTTCAACACAAAAAAATAACAAAAAAAAGGAACTGTAATATATGAACCAAATCTTAATTGTACCAAATTCCTAAAAATGCATTTTGTTCCAATTTGTACTAAAAATGCAGATGGGACATTGACTTTCCTATTTACGGTAGTTTAAAAAGCCTTCCAACACTTAAAAAAATAAAATAAAATCCAAATGTCATAAAAAAACAGAAAACCCAAAGCATGTTTTAAAACTGCTCACTATATTTGCTCTAGTTTTGCACAAACCAAATGTATTGTTTCCAGAGTAAACTTCATTGTCAATTATAGGTAGCTTGCGTTTCCTGTCAGAAGAATCAGTCAAGGATTTTGACTTACATGCCAAAAGAGGTTGTTTTTGCAGCAAGATGTAACCTAGCTTATCGCTGCTGTTAGAGATGAGCCACTCCATTAGTTGCATTGTAAATTCTTCCCGTGGTTGATTGACGATTGGTACCGTTGCCTAGCAACCAACATTCTACCTAGAACTTTTTGGCTAATATGGAAAAAGTGGCGTTCAGAAGAAACCTAACAGTGAAACAGGTTTTAGAAATGCTTCAAAATATCGATGATAGTGATTCGGGCGGAGGGGGAGAGACCGATGAGGAGGACTAGGTAGGAAGCGGCTGTGTGACTCGTGTGTGTTAGAGTAACAAGCAAGCATATGTTTTCTATGCAACTGTAATTGTCACTTGAATAAGTTATAATAAATAATGAATTATTTAACATAAAGGAGTCGTTACATTTATTTTACATTACATTCAATTACATTTAGTTACATTTATAAGTTACATCTGGCCCTTTAAGGACAGCAATTACGCTGATGTGGCCCTCAGTGAAAATGAGTTTGACACCCCTGTCATAGGGGAAGAGGAAGAAGAGGTGTGGGCTACGGTGTCAGCCTATTAGATCTCAGGATCTGTTTAGCTATGTTGCCTGTCTGTTGTTGCCGTAGCACTGGTGTGTATAGAGCGGGGGACAATGGAAAGAGGTCAAATTGCTCCAAGTGGGGGAGGGTAACTCTCCTGTGAAACCTATCACTTTTTTAAGGTGGTCCCTTGTTCTGTCTCCTCTGATTTGACACGACATGTCCCGAGGTGCAGAGAAAAGTCCCTAGAAGCTGATATTATTATTCTCTTAAAGGAAAAGCTGCTGTGTGAGCCTCTATGGAGCTTTGACTTACATTCAGCTTCCTAAACGTTATTAAGCAGTTGAACAGCATGCTCACCAAAAGATAGAACTGACAAGATATAAAGATAATGACATAAAACTTCCAACAATTAAATTTCTTTTCTGTTAATTCTGTTGACAGAAAATGAGTGAAAAACATTTACTGAGGAGTTCCTTCTGCATGGGTTTGCTGTTAGGATGCTCAGGGGGATTAAGAGCAGTTGACTGGTTTGTTGATATTTAAGTTTAGTTGGCATCCTAAACCAAAAGATATGTAAATAGTTTAGAATAAAAGAAACTAAAAAAATTAAGCACAGTTCTTCAGAACTTTAACTTACCCATACAAACAAGTTTTCTAAAAACACGTTTTAACAAAAAGCCACATAGCCTGTAGCTGTTAAATTGGCTCTCTCCAAAAAGCATCACATGAAAAGATCACATCATCCTTACAACTACAGATATATTAACATGCTTCTGTTTTTGCTAAAGCATTTTGAGATGTGAAATATTAAGCCAGTTTAACTCAATGATCTGTGATAGACCACCTGACCTAAATAGGCCCTACTTACTCAACCATTACTGCAGATAGGCACCAGATACATGCTTAGAAACATCGTTGACAGCTACACAAAAACATTAGTGTTTGTTCATATGTTCACTAAATGTTCAAAATGAACATGAACAAGAGCTTTTACCCCATTTGAGACATTTGGTATTATTCAAACAGTATCTGTTCAAAAGTCTCAAGTTTAGTTTTGGACAAATCAGTTTCTGATAAGATATTTCAGCTCTGACTTGGTCACAGTGTTGGAGTCAAACACATGGAGGGTTTGTGTGAATTGATTCTTGTTAAAACGGTAACTTAAAGACAAGATTTTGGCCCCAGACAAATATCCAGTGGATGTACTAGAACAATAGAGCATGACAAAATGCTAAAATCGTTAAGTATGGCTGGTACTAACATAAATAAGATAAATGAATGAGACTGGCTCCCTGTGGAGAAAAAACTCACTGATTTTCCTTCCTGTAAAGGCACAGCTTGAGTTCTGATTTAAAACCCATAACAACACTTCCAGAGAGCAGGTGGGAATTACTGCTTTACCCAAGGACATTTCATGGGGAGTGTGTTTATCCTCAGAAGGTCATGAACTTCCCAACTGAGGACTGTGTTTTCATTCATTAGCCCATGCTGCCACCCACACTCACCTCACTCTGTCGTGAAGAAGTTACCAAAGCTTTTTGTCCCCCTTCTGTTGGTGGTCCTGCTGCCCCCTCTGCTCCTCTTCCCGACTGTCCTCTTACGAGGAAATGAGGAGACTGATTTGATTTTAAACCCTGCTTCAAAACAAAGGCAACTGCTGTGCACATGCTTCCTGTGCAGAATCAACAGGGGGATAAAGTTCAGACACCCCGTGAGTCAGCTTTCCAACAAACACAAATAAACTGTGGGCGAAACATGTTCCGCATGCTGCCTTAAAAACATGTGCACACACACATAAACACAAGCTCTCACCTTTAGCTCCATCTCCTTTGGTTTTATATATAACATATTGCTGCTTTACTGAATGCCTGCTGAGGTTGCCATGCAAACAAACACACATCAGAACAATGCAGAGAAGAAAGCATGTGGGGATGGTTTTACACCCTGCATTACAGGGACAGAGGGGAAGCCATAAATGAATAATCCATCCTGGCAACAAGCTGTTTTTCTGTCAACATTGTTATATATATATTTGTCCGACCGACTGTTCTGCCAAACTGTCCTTTCAGGCAGGAAAGCGTCATCCTGTCACCCTTCACCGCTCCTCCAGGCTCTTCCGTCAGTACAGGTGAAATGTCATCACAAACCAACCACTCTCCTTCTCTCAATCATTTTCTCTTCTTCTCCCTCCATCTCTGTGATGTCTTTGTGTTCTTGTCACCATTACTGATGGATATTTGGTGACACAGGAGGACAAGCAAGGTGGACCTGACATGGTTGGAAGAAGAAAGGGGAAACATAAGATGCTATGACAGAGGGAAAACATGGGTGTGGAGAAGATGGGATGGCAGACAGATGAGAGGCTGAAAGGTAGATGTGATCAAGTTTCAACTTATAGTCATGTCAAAAAGTAGGAGTCAAAAAAAAAAATAAAAAAAAAAACACCTTGCAGAAATGCTTGTGCTTAGTCAACCATTTTAACTTTTTTCTCTGTAATAATCTTACAATTTGATGTCTTTTATTATGAGGTTTTTGTAACAGAACAAATAGTAGGAAAAATTGTGAAAACATTTTATTTTCAAGCCGTTTGAAAAATGTATCTAAAAACCAAGGCCTCCGGCTGATTGTTAGTCTGATAGTTAATTTCATTGATGTAGTCCATGTAAATTTCATTTAATCTCAGCATGAAAAAAGTTTACAACATAAGACAAAGATATTAATTAGAATCAGCCCATCTTTTCCCTTTTATTCACATCCTTAAAAGCCCACACCTCTCCTCCTTATCTAGTAAACAAATATAAATGAAATAAATGAAAAGTTTATCCAACAAGGAAAATACACCATTGGCAAGTAGAGTATGGATGCAGACAACTTGAAAAACTATGTCTTTGTAATAAAGCTCAGAAAGCAGGACCCAGAATTCAGGCGAGACAGACAGTGATTACTTAAAAGGCGTTTATTGAAAATCTGAAGCTGAGCGGCGGATCTGCAGTGGCTGCGACTAGGGCGGGGCACCGCCCATCACTGGAAACTCTGGTGGAGAAAAACACAGGTAAGTGACCATGATAATCTGACGGAAGATGATTATCCATGTAAGCCACTTACCTGGTTTGTCAGTTCTGTCCACCTCCAGCCGGAGGGCTCCCAACTAGATGCAGCAGGTGCTGCCCAGAGTGTCCCCCGATGCTGCAGTGAGAGAGGGCAAGCATGACTCCAAGCCAGGTCAGGGAAACCAATCAGAACAGGAAGGGTCTGAGGTCCAGGAATCCAAAGCCTAGTCAGTGATACCAATCAGAACAGGTTCCAGGAGTCCACAGAGAGCTCAGGCAGAATGTTCAGATGGGAATAGGCAAGCTCAGTGGTTGACAGTCAGAACAAGGCAGGATATCAGGAACTATGATACACTATAAACTCGCTCTCTCCACTGAGCCAAGACATGAACTGGCACGCTCAGTGGATAAGAGGCAGAACATGATCAGGAAATCAGGAACGCTACAAAACACCAAAACTCTCTCTCACCACTGGCCCCCAAGAATGAGAACATTAACTATAGCATCAGCAATGGTCTAAACCTAAATGATCTGGCCCTATATGGCTGAGACTGAGTCCTATATATATAAGCAAAAGCAGGTGGATTAGATGGGTAGTAATTAGATACTGAGCAGAGTAGGCAGGAGAAATAAAGAGCAAATAGACCAGAGCCATGAGGCACATATAAATGCTACAACAACTCAAATTCAATATTTAAATGTGCAACCCCAGTATAAATGCAGCCCTTCTTTCAGGACTTCATAGGTGATTTAGGGAACATTAATTCCGTTTAATATGACCATTGTTCGACAAAAAATGTCATCTTAAGGTTCTATTCAAAACTGAAAAAGTAATGGAGGAAATTGTGAGGGAGCTACATAGCACCACAAATCAAATAGGAAGATTTGAGTTTTATTTATCCTTCTGGAAGAGTGGGGGGGGGGGGGGGGGGGGGGGGGGGGGGGGATCAAGATTGTTGATAGAAAGAGGGGAATAATAGTCACAGTTTGCAAAAGGCAAAGAATTTCTTTCATTGACTTCAGCAGGAACAATGTTTTGAGATTTTGACAGGAAGGTAGGTGGAGCTAAATACAGCAGGAGTTGTTTACAGCAAGAAAAACAACTATTAGAGGTTACAAAACACTTGAGACTGTGGCAGCAGAACCAAAGTAGTTAGATCAAAGCATTTTCATGTCTTAGAAAGGTTGAGTCAAAGTTTAGACCTTAATGTTATGGAAAAAAAATTAAAAACACTTTACAGGAGAATACTCGGTTGACTTGACTTGACTTTTTATTTTGAAAAAACCCCCCACCAAAGTCAGACAAGGAGTACGTAACAACTGATGTAGCCTTAAATACAGAACTCCATTGTGACTGTCTCTCTGTTTTTTTATGGTGGATTATCTTTATTCAAGGAAAACAATTTTGAAATGAGTTTTGAAAATGTTATTACACAGGTCACTGTGTTAGCCTTCTTAAAAAATAAACCATTTCAGCTTTTGTCTTGAAAAACTGTCAATTTATGTAAAAGAAGGCTTCTCTAATAAAAGCCAGCTGTTAAATGCACATTACCAGCTAACATGGACATCAAGGTCAATGTTCATGTTACATTAATCACTGCTGATGATGTCTGGGTTTTCTTCTTAAGAAGGGTCAGGAGATAAGGTTAATCAGAATCAGGTCACGAAGAGCGGGATCAAATCCAAAAGTACAGATGTTTGTGTGTTCTCTGAAAAATGTTTTTATAAAACTATTTTTTGGTGACTCATTGGATCTGATGCATGATGAATGATTTCAAAAGAACTTATTTATTAAAGGAAAAACTAACCGCCTGGATGTAAATTCCATTTGATTCAGTTTATTTATATAGCGCTAATCCCAAACATGTCTCCTCTGTTGTGACGACTTGTGAATAATATTTTCAGTCTTTATCAAAAAGTTCCACGTTGTCAGATTGTGAAACAAGCTTATGTACAATCATTTTCTAGATATATCTGCACGCACACTAGCACTGTAACACACCATTGTTTTCTCTGATACTGTGTTTCTTATTGGTGCATGTTAGGGAAGCTGTTTTGTTCTGCTGTGAGACCCTGGTGTCTCCCTTTCATGCCAGCAGCTTCATGACCACATGCCTAGAGTGCCTTTGTCTGCATGCATGCGTGTGTGAGTGTCTGGAATCTATGGCATTACCAGTTGAATTATCAACATACCAAAGGAAAGCCTGGCTCACAGAACCAAGGCGACAAAGGAGCGCTCTGAACTGCTTCTTTTACACGCTAACACAACATGCATGCGTTTAAATGTAACAGGGAAAGCGTGTGTAAAACTAAAGGAGAGGGGACAAAAAATGGAATGGTTGATATGAGTTGGCAGAGGTGACTTGAAGGGCTTTCACATTTTATTAGGGCGGCTGCTGAAAGCACACATGCACCTAACACACTTGCCTGGCTCTTCACTTAGCTTCTCATTCAGTAACACGTTTGTTCCTGCATGCTCACATTCAGGCACGCACAGCTTCTCTTGATGAGACCTTTGGCTCCTGTCTCAGCAAGAAGCTGACAAAGACATATCACACAAAAAAGGACAATTAACATTGATTCATCCACGCACTGTGAAATCAAAGCAAAACATCAACAACAAGATGTATTTCTTTACTGATAGGACATGTATTCAAAAAAAATTGTGTGATGTAATAGGTATGAACTTGCTATTTAATTAGTAGTAATTAAAACTAACCATAGACTTCATTTTATCTAAACATCCAGTTCAAAAAACAAAACAAAGAACTGCAGATCAGGGGTTTGTTACAGCAGCATATGATGTAATTGAACTTCCTGGTTACCTTAAAGGGACCTAGTTTCTTAAAATTCCTCCTAATAATGTTTACTTAGTCCTTTTTGAACCTTAGAGAGGATTTTCCTCGGCAAACATAAACATAGTTGTTCACCATCGGCATCTGCAGATAGTACTTAGTCACGCATCAATTACCTCCTGCTTCAATGAACATTTCCGGAATTCAGTATTTTTTGCTCTATTTGTCAAACTTGGTCTTGGACTTTTTTTTTTCTTTTTATTCATCAACTGAGGAATTGCTGACTTGCTTGACTCGATTACTTCCTCTTTTACACATTGCCTGCTTGCCAATATCTGGTCACGTTGTCTTGTTATTGTAAATATCACAAACACTTATGTTTGTTAAGAAACTGAACCTAAACAGTGTAAAATATCTCTATAGAATATAATAAGCTAACTGGAATGCCTTTCACAAAAAGAAGGACAATTTACATGGAGTCAACCAGAGCTGTACTAATGGTGAAGAAACATGGAAAATCATAAAACTAGGGAATTAGAGCAGTAACTATACCGACATTGTAAAAAAATATGTAAAAGTTTTGCATCTAAGATTAAAGAAACTTTTTCGCCTTTCAATATGCTTTATCCAGAACTCCCCAGATGGAAGAGTTTTAATTTTACCTGGGGTTGCTCAGTGGCACAGTGGGTAGCACTGCTGGCTTGCAGCAGGAAGTTTCTGGGTTTGATTCCCGGCCCAAGGTCTTTCTGCATGGAGCTTGCATGTTCTCCCTGAGCTTGCGCGGGTTCTCTCCGGGTACTCCGGCTTCCTCCCACAGTCCAAAAGCATGACTGTTAGGTTAATTGGCTTCTCTAAAATTGTCCTTAGGTGTGAGTGTGAATGGTTGTTTGTCTGTGTTGCTCTGCGATGGACTGGTGACCTGTCCAGGGTGTACCCCGCCTCTCGCCCATTGACTGCTGAAGATAGGCACCAGCACCACTCGAGACAAGCTTGTCAGATAATAGTTTTACCTGGCTAGATTTCGTAAAGAGTCTTTCTTAAGGAGGCTTTGGCTGTCCCATTATTAATCTGCCATTAATCTATAGATTAAATGATTAGTTTCAGCCCTATAGTAAATACTTCTACCAGTAAACAGGCTTGACTGTCAGGGTTGGTTGTGGTTTGGAGGACCCAAATGCAGAGGCAGAGGTGAATACTTGTAGTTTTAATGAAAATGGTTAACAAAGGCAGTCCAAAAATCCAACTAAAAATGTAACAGACCAGAACCATGGAGACATCAAGGGAAAACTCTAGTGATGTTATGAGATGAGCCGAGGCTTCGAGGCGTGTGTCGAGTAATGGAGGGGGCGTTTCCCCGAAGCGCGTGTCGAGGCGCGATTCATTTAGAGGAGGGTCCAAAATTGATGACGTCCGAGGCCTCGCTACCGTGAAACCACGTGACCGCTTCGGTATGTGGTTCGGGAAGCGCAAGAATTTTGACAGGCATCTAAACAGCCTCAGTGTTCAGTCAAGATGTGGGAGTTTGG